TGGGTTTCATGTTGGGAAAGGACATACTAAAGTGGGTCTTTAAGCTTTAGCTGAATATTGCTCTTTTGTACCAAGCTCTGTCAAATGAATTTTGGGTTTCCTGTTGAGAAAGGACATATTAATTGGGTCTTTAAGCTGTAGATGATCAAAAGGTATCAAATGTGCACAACTCACTAGACCCCTACATTTGTTTTTAGGTTCAATGGTAAATGGATGGGGTTCTGCGTCTGATGAGGACCGTAACTTTTCTAGTCATAGATCTAGTGTAGGTAGCTCCTCAGATGACTCGATCTTTACCAGCGGCAGTTTTGCACAAGCACTGGTTGCAGCAGCAGATAAAGCTGGTTTTAGGCTGGATGGAACCAGCCTGACAAGAACAGGTTTGTAGACTCAAAGTTGATGCTCTCTGCATGAAGGGTGTCTCTGCCTATTCTTCTCTTCTCTCAGTGAACCCGCGTCTCACACTTCTCTAACGTGCATGGAATAAGGTGGATGGAGATATTTTTATTGGTATATTTGCAATGAAACTTTGCATTGTGTTTCATTTTTGGTCTTTTGAAGTAGTGAATAGCACAAGCTTTTAATCTGCACCTTCGATCTGCCGCAGTTTCCCTCTGTACTGACTCCACTGTGTATTTACTGACAAATATTTCATTTAATATTTCAGTGAAGAAATCACTAATTCTGCCTTGCAGTTTTGATGATCTTATTTTCTGAAAGATCTCCTCACAATCATTTACATTTCCAGTGATGAAGTTCATATTTAAACTATTATCTCCATCCCTGCTCTTCTGTTGCATTTCTTCTCGGAAAAGTGTATTTTTCTGTGAAGTTTTTCTAAGCATGGGGTGAATTGGTTTATTGTTAACAACGCAAACTGTTTAAAACTTTTATTAATAGCTGATTTAAAAATACTTGATTCAATAAGTTAATATATTTTGATAACATTTAATTTTAGTTATGCCAACTGAGTCTGCCAAGTAAAATGTAAAAAAGGTAAAGTGACTATTGCTTTTGAAAACAGCCAATCTTCTAAAATGAATTAATGAAAACTAAATATAATTTAGTTCATATTTTTAAAGCTTCATATGTCTTATTTCTATTTTTAAAAAAGATAAGGAAAAATGATCTTTAAATATTCTGGGGGAAAAAAAAGAATGTATTGCATTTTCTTAGTCTTATAAAAAAAGCAAAAATTACTAATTATTTGAATCCATAAATTTAATAGCAAAGTATGAGCTTGGATCATATTTTTGTTATGCTTCCTCAGCCAATTCCTGCCCACAGGTCCCATAATGTTCCTATCATTTAAATTTTTTCACTATTAGTCTGGTGTGAAGTCTCTCTTCCAGTAATATGTGTGCACTTGTGAGAAATGTCTCACATGTTAGGCCTGAAAAATGTCACTCTTTCTGCATGCAATGACTTCATGGCAAATACCACCTTTTAAGGACATTAGGAATAATGAAAAGAGTTGATGGCAAAGTCCTGTGTCTCCAACAAACTAGAAGGTGAATGCATATGGCTTTTCCCAAACCACTGGGACTTTTGCCACTGACTTTGGTCATACACAGTCATCCTTAAAAGGTAGTTCACTGTAGTTGAACCCCTCAGTAGCTTCTTACACTGTGGAAAACTGGCTGAGTAAATCTACCTCATCCTTTGATAGAAAACAAAGCAAGAACCGATGTAGACCTTCACTCATCTGCTATGGGCACATATGGCCAAACTATAATTTAAAATACACTATTGGGCTTGAAGAGTCTTCTAAGTCTTAAAAGAAAGTAGCAAATCCTTCCCAAACTTTTTTTTTTTATGGTGTTCTTGGTGTCAGTAAAAGTTAATGCAACGATTCACCCAAAGTTAATGTCGCTTCTATCAGACCTTTGAGAAGTACAGTTCCCAACCACAAACACATGCATAAGAGAAGTAAATAGGCACACAGACACATATGATTTCTTATTGTAGCAATGTGAATGGAAAATACAATGAAAGGCTGAGAGCCCTCTTGTCAGTTGTATTTTTCCAGCTTAATTAGGTCACGAATGCACTTAAACCGAGTGCACGTGTGTAATTCCTCAGACGGACTACTAGAGTGTAGGGTACAAAAAAAGTATCTAGCAGTTGTGGTAGAGACTTTATGATTATTACCCTCTTACTCTCTTAATGATCCAGCAGGCAAAATGGAAATAAAATAGAACCCACATGTAAACAAACAACCCTCCCCTCTTTTTCCTCACAGAAACCTCAGCAAATGGAAATAGCTCCCCGGTGCTCACTGCAGGTTCATTAGGAGATGATGCCTCCCGGGGTAGTGGGGATCAGTCAGACGTGCCTGGTACGGCCCAGCAGCTCCCACAGTGCAAAGTGGTGTCTAGCAGTGGAGAAGCAGCGGTGTTATTTCTGTTCATTGCTCTGGAGGGAGTCTGAAGGTCCTGACTCTTTACTCCTTTGCAGTCTGGACAGTTATTTTCACCCATGTAGAACAGCTGTGAAATGTTCTCACCCGTAGATACTAAAGGAGATGTCCAACTTGATGGCCTCACGTGGGAATGTTTGATTGCCAAGCATAAGAGGCGCTGGTAAATCCAGATGCAATGTGTCTCTCCTGCCAGGCACTTTGATTCCAGTTTCCAGAAGCCATCATGTGATTTGCCATGAAGTTCAGACAGATTTCCTTTTTAACACCCTTGGGAAATTAAATCAAGAATTAGTGGATTCATCCTTGTCTCCACTTACACACACTAAATCTGCTACAAAGTCTGACGCTGCTCAGCAGTTCTTACTGGAAGGGCTGCATACAAATACAAGATGCTGTAATCAGTTATTAAGTGCATTGAAAAATGTGTTTTGGGAGTCTGCACATCATTTGTGTTTGCCCCATGTCTGATTTGGGTCAGTGCTATTTATTTTGCCTCTTTTTCATGAAGGGATAAAAGAGAAGGTTTGATATCTATTTCTTTTTAAAACCAACGTTCTGAATGAAAAATCACATTTCTTCAGTCAAAAGAATAAGTGTGAAAAATCTGCATCCTCCACTCACTAGTTGCACTTGCATGTGAGTTTATTTTTACAAAACATCTGTGCAGTGTGCTGTGAGCTGAGATGGAATTTCAGGCTCACGTCTCAATTTCTTTGCTTTACTGATTTTTTTTTTTTATTTTTAAATGAAATTTTAATATTTTGTCTGTGTTCATCTGCTGTTTTATCCTTATCCATGAAAAAAGGGCTTGATCACTTGTCTTTGTCTGGCTGCAGCTGTGCCAGCTATAGAGGTTAATGTTTCCAGACCCCCCCAAACGTTTGTTACTGCTTTTTTCCCAGCTCCAGAATTAGCTTCTCGGGTGGGCGTTCTGTAACCCACTTCAGTCAAAATGAGCCAGGTTAGCAAAGGCATTGATTTCAGACCATTTTAAGTTCAACTGGGCTTTTTTTGGTAGAGAAGGGTTAGGGAATGTCCACTTGAGGGGTTCTAATGTGGTGACCTCCAACAGCTGGCAGAGACACAGCTGGGAGACAAACCTGCCTGGGAGCAGTGTCCCCCTCAGGGTGCACATCAGTCAGAAGGCAAGGCTGAGAGAGTCAGGAAATCTCTGAAGTCAAACAGTGACATATTATTCTAACATGTATGTATTAATGTGAAACACCATGTTAGAGAGATTACGGCTACTTTTTCACTTTGCCCTCTTTGCACTGGGAATATTTCAAACAGTATGCTGAGCTGCATATTACTCCTGATTAAGCTTATCTAGATCAGGTCATATGTGACAGCATGTTGGAAGTAAGAGCATCTGTTGAAAGGATTTGCAGCAGGGTAGACCCAGGTCTAAGTTAACGAGAGGATGAAAAACCTCCTTGCTAGCTTGAGCTCAGTTGACCAGAAAAATACCAACAACCATTTTGCCACTTTCCATCAACTCTAACACCATTTGGGCCTACAGCAGCATTTAAAGAGCAGAAAGTCTGACTGGCTTATACATTTTCCACTGCAGATAGGATTAAAACATGTAAGAATTTTAATTACCAGTTTTAAACAAATTAAAATGTTAACATCCCCAAGATTCTTGGCAAGAACAACCTACACATGAACAAAAGGAAGTAAAAGATGGTGATCTTTAGTTTTCATCAGTTGGCATTAAACATTAAGCCTAGTTAAGTTAACTGAATAAAAACATCAGAATAAGAGGAAGTGAATGTAGTAAATGAACTGCACTGCTCCTACGGTTCCTACATGAGGCTTTTAATCATCTGCTCCATAGAACAGCATCAAAGATATTTTTTAAGAGACATCACGTAGCTTGAATAGTTTGTCTGTATGTGTGTATATATATATATATTTATATTTATATATATATATATCTGAGGAATAAATTCAGTGAGAATACATTTTTTAACATATAAAAGTGCTGAAAATGAACAGGAAAATTTTAGCATTTCAACATACCCCCATTTTTATTTCTTGAGAAAAGAGAGCCCTTAAATATACAAACCTACCCTGCTACATAGCTTGCAAAATCAGTTATGTTTATCTCACTGGAGTTACTCCAGATATACAGTGCATATGGGAGCCTCTAAAATGAGAATCTGGCTCAGTAAACATGAAAGTGGAAGGCAGGAGGAGATAAATTTGATATGATTGCAGAACTGTTTTCCTTCCCTGCTCAAGGCTGAGGAGTTGTTATGACACATCTGTTCAGCACACAGAGCAGGCAGGAGTTAGATGGCATACAGTAGTTTTATCACAACAGATGGAATAATTTTAATTATAAAAGTTAAAGACAAAAGAATGCCCAGTTTATCACTTCGCTTGTTGTGGTGTGTCTTAAAGCAGTTGTCATCAGTGGGAACCTCGAGGGGACACTCGCTTGCCTCTGAGAATTAGGCCTGATTTAATGTTTCGAAACAGACATTAATAGAACAGCCCATTTCAAGGCAATAACATTTTTTTCATCTGGTTTCTCTTTCTTTCTTTCTTTTTTTTTTTTTTTTTTTTTTTGTAGGCAAAGCATATTCTTCCTCTCAGAGACCTCGACCGAGCAGTCCCTTTTCTACTGACAGCAACACCAGTGCAGCTGTCAATCAGGGTCAGAGGCCGAGGCCCACTAAAAAACACAAGGGAGGACGGTTGGACCAGCCCCCTTTGCCTCATCGTAGGGAGGGAATCACAGACGGTAAGTGTCGTGGAGAGGGCCCTGATGATAACCTGCAACAAGCAGCTGTGCAGAGCGGGAGAAGGCCAAGCAATCTTTCAAGAAATATGGGTTGTAGTGAATTACTGGTTTGGTGTAGCGGGGTCCCCAGGTTGCCTCGTGAGCAGTATTGCAATGCTGGCAGTGTGGAGCTTGGTAAAGTGAGTCTTCAAGGAGCCTTCCTTCATTCTGGCTCTGAACACGTTAGCATCTCTTAGGAGATATCAGATCTCGATATAAATCTTACCCAAAAATGGCTGTGTTGCACAGGAGTCGACATTAAAAAATGGCCTGTGAGTAATTTTACATTAAGTGAAAGTAGCCACCACCAGTAGCAGTGTGCCATGAATTCCTAAGGAGAAGTGTAGAGCCACTCCCGCAGCACTGTTCGCTTTGTGCTGTTTTTGACAGACACTCAACAGCTACAACATGTGCCATGTTTTTCCCATGATTCTGCCTCATGTTTTGTCTGTGCTGCTTCAGTCCTGACATCCACTGACCTCAGTGACTTTGTTTCCCTCTTTTACATCTCTGCTTCTCTCTGACCACTGCTTCCCATCTGGAAATTTCAGTCTCTTCTAAGATCTGCCCAAGATCAGCTCTGTCTTTCATTATCTTTGTCTACCACTCTTGAGTCTGGTAAAAGACTGCTACTTTTGGAGGAAGACTGCATAGGAAGGTGGCTGGCTGGCCACCTCCCCCTCATTTCTTCTCTTCCTGGCCTTGCACCTGTAGGTGTTGAAATGATCAGAGGGGAGAAGGAGGCGGATGGAAAAACGGCATTAAAGAAACCACTAAGGATATCTGTAATGCCATGCAGGTGGAGATGTGATCACTTCCCTCATGCTGACCCCTATTTCAGTGTTCAGAGTAGGACAGTTCTGAGAGGTAGACTGTCCCACATACCTCAGAGGCTCTCATAACACTGTCTGGACCGTGGGAGTGAGTGTGATGCCAGTGAACCTATCCCCCAATCTTAAGTACACCTTGACAAATCTTCCTGTGCCTGGGAAAGGTGGAAAAATAAAATTAAAATTAAAAAATTACCTTAGATTTCAGTATAAGAAACCTTCTTATTCTAGTAAAAATTACTTGAGAATCATAGAATATCTCAAGTTGGAAGGAACCAATAAGGATCATCAAGTCCAACTCACTCCTTTATCTTCTTTGGACAGGTAATGTAATAAATAGATGTGATAGACAGTATATTTAGATTGAAATTTTTTTTTATAATGCACTATTTCTTACTCCAGGTACATGAATAAAATATATTAACATCTTGCAAGGTAGACTGTGACCACCAAAACCACCAGAGCTCTGTTCTCAGTCATGTTATCAAGTATAAAGATTCAATTTTGCAGTATCCTCTGGCAGAATCCATGTTTGCCAGACCACAAAGATGGAGAATAAATTCCAGAAGGGAAAGTCTTCACCAAAGGGGTTATTGTTACATCTCATGCTCTATGGCTAATTCTCAATGCCATATTATTTGTGGAAACAGTGTAAAGTAGCTCAGATTTTGCTCATATGGATCTGAATTGGTTTAAACATTAATACCCTGCCCTTCTGGATGTATTCCAGAGGCCTCTCTGCTACACAGATCCATTAAATACATGTTTCTGTGAGAACAGTAACTAGAAACCATGGGTGTCACTTGTGGTGCTGGCCATACAGTGTCTGTCCATGTGTTAATCCTTCTGTTTGGCCTATCCTGTCACCTGGAACTGTGAGCAATTTGGGCTCCAAATTCTATGTACATGTGAGTTTGTAGTGTACTCAGTATGGTGGGACCTTAATTCTTCTTTTGAATACTATTGCTGTGGAAATGTTTTACAATAATGTGGGTACCAGAAAAGTAATGGGAATCCAGTTCAGGTCATGGGACAAATGGAAGTGTGACTCCACAGTGTGACTGCACTGTGAAATTCGGCATTGTTTTAAATTAGTGAAGGAGATCAGATTTTAGGATTTATTTTAAAAGAGGAATCTCCTATTGTCTTTTATTTAATCTTTATAATATACTAATCTTACTGGAGTTTCTTTCATATATTTGAGTCGGAATACCAATTATATACTATTTCCCTCAACATTTCAGACACAGGCAGTAAACAGATTAATATTTGTCTGATATAAACCTGGAAGTACTTACTATATGTTCCAAAAATTTATAATGTCCTTGAGCAATAGAGAAACCTTTCCCATTCTGTATTAACACAGGAACAAACAAACACAAATGGTACAGTTTTTCCACTTCAACTCCTACTGAATATGAGTCACTAAAGTGTAATGGTAAGTCTGAGTCATATCTAAATTTGCAAAAGATCATTTGAAATTAAGGAAGCTAAAGGTTGCTGCTGCCACCTGCATGTATGTAAACAATTGAATTTAGGAAACTCTGGTATACAGAAAAAGAGTGGTAACTAGATACTCTCTGTGGAATATTGCAATGAACTTTACAAAAAGAGACAATCCCACTATGCTTAAGCTACAGCTAGAGAAAGCAAGCAGGAGAACCTCAGATAGGTCTAGCAATTCTAAACCCTAATCCAGGCCAGCCCCGGGCTGTCATGATTTCAGTGGGAAGCATCACTATATGTTTTTTCCTGGTTTTCAGATGTCTGCAATCCATTCCCTTGTAGCTACTTCCTCTTGGATTTGTCATGTGAGAACATACTTGGTTTGTCAGTTGTTTTCAAATTCCCAAGTTAGATGAGTCCTAGTATCCTGTGTTTAAGTCTCATCACATCCCGGATATCTGTCATTTTAAATTTTCATTGACCAAGTAATCTCCAGCTATGTCCTTTCTCTGCCCAATCCCATATGCATCCTGAGCACTTCCACTGTGTTAACTGTAACCATGTGGGACAGTGCAAAAGACCTAAGAAGCTGTAATATTTAACACATAGCACACACATCTCAGACTGTGTAAGCATATGAGGGTTCAACTGCATGCTTACTTTTGACAGCAATCCACACAAATCCCCTAAAAGCCTGCTGCTTCATTTTCTTCAGCTGCAGGTCAGAATACTCCAGAGACTGACTCTAGATGGAGTCTTTATATTTGTCTTGCTGTACAACTTGTTTTTTAACTTCCACATCCTGAAAGACCACGGATACAATAGCAAATCCACAGAGGAAGAATATGTTATGAATCTAACAGATGATGAAAACTTTCATTCTGAGCTCACGGACCACCATAAAAACAGGAGGTTTTTAGTTCTAGTGCTCAAGGAATAATTTGTTTTCCTGGAAACAATATACTCACAAATTGCAAAACAGTGGAATCTGTCAAATAGTTTGTGGCATGGTAACTTCATGACTAAATTTAAAAGCTCTTCCTTTTCTGAGCATGATATGTTAAAAAAAAAAAACAAAAAAAAACAAAGAGGAGGCAGAAGGGAAATATGCTTAGGGGCTAAAAAGGAGAACTGGAACACAAGACTTCTCTTAGTTTTCCCACTGGCTTCCTACTGTGTATTAAAAGTCAGTTTTTCCTAAGGTAGATCACTGTAGAGAAGATCCTTACCTTCTGATGTTAGAAAGTGGTTCAGAGGCTTATTAAATGTCACAGTAATTATCATCCCTAGGAAAAGAAATCACTGGCACAGGTAGAAAGGTTTGTCCTTATACTTGTAGGTTCTGTAACTTGCTGCTTTTTCCAGTTAATAATGAGAGGCTGTGACAAAGTTTGACTAGTACCTAAATCACTTAGCCAATGCCCTGCCTTCTAACGGAGGGCTGGAGTAATCCCAGGACGAATATCCATTTCCCCCCTATTAGGCACTCTGATGTCCTACAGCTTCTCAATCACAATCCCTCCATTACTAAATCAATAAGACAATCACCCCACCACCACCTCCAGAAATGCACTTATGAATTGCCTCACAGGTTTGATAATCCTGCCATTAGAGGCTTCAAAAGATAGTCTGGATGACATCCCACTGGCCTAGAAAGTTACTAGCTCAGTGTGGGTTTTTAGGTATTTTATCTGGCACATGAAAGATAAATGTGATTTAGATGGAAGTAGAGTGATAGTCAATGTTACCACTCTGGGTATCCTCACTGAAAAGCCCACTGAAGTCCCTAAATTTCTAGATTCAAAACTACTCTGAAGTAATCGACATGATGGAATGACTTGGATTGCCTCTGTGTAGAAATAAATCTGCCTACCAGAGTCTGAGGCTACTAATTCTGCTGATATTCTGTTACCCCTTTACTAGGGGTAGGAGAGGAAAGGAAAGGGAAAGAGAAAGGGAAAGGGAAGACTACTCTCTATGGCACTGGAGAGAGAAACTCGTGACTCCAGATACAAGAGATTTTTCTGTATGCCCAAGCAAGATAACAGAGAATATTTAGTAATTTACCTAAGGCAGAAGATTTACACTGTGGGATGTGAGTTGTAGAGCAAAGAAAAAGACACATTTCCAAATGAAGCTCTCTTCCAGCTTTTATTAAAAAGGACAGGTAGGTGTTACCATGACAGTCAGCCTGAGGAAGAAGGCGAAAAAGAAAATGGTTTAGTCAGGTGAAGCTTGGCTACAATTAGTAACTGTTCTTACAGATCTCAGATGTGTAACACAGTTCAGTAAGTCTGTACTCAGGCTGGAGCCAGCTTATTTTAATTCTATAGTACCTGTAATTCTTCCAGAATTCTGTGAATCTTCATTAGAATGTGTATCCTATTTTTCACTTCAACTCATCCATAGGTCTAGAACAGCCAAAGAGCTTTACAAACATGATGTTTTATTTCACTTCTATGCATAAGTCAGTCTTTATGCTTATTTTCTGGATGGATAAAAGCAAGAATCAGGTTAACATTAGATCAGCAGCATAAGTCTACAGTAATTCCAGGAGCTGCAGCTAGCTCTAGAACATGCAGAACGGTTTAAGTACAAACCTTCTTTCCTTTTAAGTACCTAATTAATAACAACTATTAGATGGCAATTTCTGAAGAAGGGTACTCTGTTTAAAGTTTAATACTG